GTATACATTTTTGTACATTTATTCACTCATCTGACATTTGCAAAATAGCACACTTCTGTTATGTTCTGTATTGTAATTCTGTTATTAAAATTATACAATAAACATGAGTGTGAATCCATTATTGTGTTTAAGATTTACTGAGTAATGGGTATTAAAAAAAATAAATAAATAGATGTGGTGTAAATATGGTTAAATAATGGCATTTGGTTGATCAGCCACATGTGGGCCATATAAGGGCCATCAGCCCTTTACAGAACTCTAAGAATACCATATAAGGTCCATATATCAGCCACATCTGTTTTTATTATTTGGCTCACTCTGGGTTGGGTTCTGGCTAAAAAGATGTGGACTAGTTTTGGGCCAGCGAACACAAACTAATCTGGGCCACACTTAAGCTGTTGATATGGGCCAGATCCACGCCAAAGGAAATTTGCTGACTGGGATGTTCCCGCGGCTATGGGTGACAGTTAAGGGGTTAATTATAATGACATGGTGTGAATGCAGCATTCAGCTCATCCAACCCCAATCAAACACACCTGAACAAGCTAATCAAGGCCTTCCAGTCAGATTACTAGAAAACTACAGGCAGGTGAGTTTGATCAGGGTTGGAGTTGACCTGATCTCCTTGGATCTTTAAAACCCTATTTTACAGCGGTTGACATTGCAGCAACACGTTTATTTGTTTTAGATTTGTGTTGTCCGCTTCTCCTGATGCACCAATTCAGCGCACTTGCCAGCAGAGATCGACAGAGGATGACAGCTCGAGTGTATTTCTCGTTGATTGCTGTTTTATTGTGTCTGTTCGGATACTTGAGCTTAACAGATGCTACTCGACCCGCAGGTGAGAAGATCTGTTGACTTCGTTACACAGCCTGAAGAAATGCAGAAATAAGTGACTCTCAGTCTTTGAAAGTAACAGTTTAGGAATGAGTAATGGGTTTTAAAACGCTTTTGATTTGAAGCAGGTGAATATGTAAAATTTGTATTAAGGTTTGAGGCTTAATGCAAAACCCCTGATTTACAAATGCAGGAACCACGCTCCCTGGCCCCTAATGATCCTCTTGTTTAAGCAGAAAAATGTTATGTAAAACCCTTTTTTTTTTTTTTTTTTTTTTATTTTAATGTGGTGGGGCCCCCGCCGCCTTTTTTTTTTTTTTTTTTTTTTTTTTCAAAGCAATGGTTCACCCAAAAATGTCAAATGTGCTGAACATTTACTCACCCTCAGGCCATCCGTGATCTAGATGAGTTTGTTTCTTCATCAGATTTGTAGAAATGTGTCACTGCATCAGTGTCTCATCAATGGATGCTCTGCAGTCAATGGGTGCCGTCAGAATGAGAGTCCGAACAGCTGATAAAAACAT